GTGAAGTGGAGGTTCAGTTTTCTCCCCAGTTCTTATTTACTTTGATAGACATAAAACAAGCAAAATAGACCAATAAGAGAGATTAAGAATCTGTAAAAAACTAGAAAGTCCTGTTCATAATAACAATTGAATATAAAAATGATAAATATGTAATTTAAATATAGATACATATATAAAATATAATGTACAAAGTCTTTTATGAGGAAAATATTAAGACATTCCAGAAAGATGATCGAGTAGACTTGAATTATTGGGAAACCACCCTGTTCTTTGCTAGAATGAGAATACTTACCATAAACTTATTATCTCATTAAAAATTCAAAAGTTTTTATTTTCTTGAACTGAATATGTTTATTTTTAAGTTCATTTGGGAAAATGATCATGCACTACTATCTGGGGAGATCCTAAAAAAAGAACAATTAGAACTAACATATGTGATAAATAATCTAGATGTTTTAAAAATACGTACAAAAATGTGTGGCATTGGGACCTGAATAAACAGACTAATGTAGCAATGTAGCCAATGCAGAAATAAACTCAGGTACAGACAAAAATTTAATGTGTAATTTAAGCTGGCATTTGAAATCACTGGAAAATGATCTTTATTATAAAATAGTCTTGAAAAACTGAATATCCATTAGGAACGAGATAAAATTAATGCCATATTGACAGATTAACTCTAAAATGATCAGAGCTCTAATAGAAAAAACAAAACCATACACACACCAGGAAAACATCAGTAAATGGCTTATATATTCAATGTAAGCAAAGTTCTTCTGGCTTTGCCATCCAGAAGAAATAAAAATATATTCTGAAGATTTGACTACATAAACACTAAAATCATTTTGTGAAAAATTGTACCGTACCATGTTAACATAAAAAGATAAATTGGGAGAACATGTTTGCAGCTCAGATTTCACAGAAGTGAATATAAAGTCATAACAAACTCTTAAAAACACACATGTAACCTTGGTAAATGCAAAGACATGCAAATGTTATATATGTATATATGTGTATGCATATATATGTATATATTTTTTGCACTTCTAAGTTTATATGTATGTACATGTTTATTTTTACACTACTTTTTGCACTTCCAAGAAAAAAAGCAAAAAGCAATTAAAGGATGATACATGTCATCAATTGGTTTCCACAGAAATCAAACTATGAAAAGACGATTAGTCTGCAGGACAATTATTGGGGAGTAGATCAGTAAGTTTGGAACAGTGGGAAAAGAAGAGAGAATGGACAGCAGATTTTGAACTGTGGGGTCATCTGAATAGAGACCTCATCTGACTCTTCAAGAGTTCTGAACAGGGTTAGCCCTTCAAAATCATCTAGAGATGAAGGTCAGGCATTTAGGCTTCCACATTTTTCAGGCTTACCTTAGAAAGGGAGTTGGCCATGAAAAAGTGGCATGATCTCGAGTGAGTCAGTTTACTTAAGTTCAGATGTCCTTATCAGCTGGGACTGCTACAACAAATACCTCAGACTTTATGTCTTAAACAACAGACATTCATTACTCACAGCTCTGGAGGATGAGAAGTCCAAGATAAAGGTGCCAGCCAATTTGCTTCCGGAAGAGGGCCCACTCCCTGGTTGCCAGTGACAACTGTAGTGTATCTTACATGGCAAAGAGCTACATCATTTCTCTCTAGACTCTTTTTGAAAGTGAAGTAATTCAACCTATAAGGACTCCACTGATGAGACCTAAATACTTCCCCAAAGTCAACCTACAAACACCATTGCATTAAGTATTAGGTCTTCAACACATGCAGTTTCAGGGGGACAGAAACATTCAGTCTTCAGCAGTTTCTTATTCCCAAAGAAGACCAACAGATGAGTATCTTCTAATAACACTTTTAGCCACAGGCAGAGCAGGTTCCTCATTCCAGAAGGGATTTTTGATTGATACACGATAACATCCACCACAGCACTATTTCTAACGTGTCAGGTTAGCAAAAATTCAAGCAAGTGTATAACATATTCTATAACATACATCGGAGGAAACAGTTACTCATGGATCCCAGGTAGGTGTCAAAATGATGCCTCCATTCTGGAGAAAATTATCCTGAAGATATGTATTTTATGATAGATCCACACAGTGAAGAAGTATGTGAGAATGCAAAAAGTAGAAGACCTCTCACAATAGATGTGGAATGAATACACACTTTTTAATTTTTATGTATTTGTGTATTTAAGTTTGCATTTCCCTTTATAGTTCTAAAATATAAATAATCTTTAATTACAACTTTTCCAAAAGGAAAGATTGGAAACTAACAAATCTTTTTTTCTGTATGTGATAAGTGAGAATGAGTATATGGATGAGGACAAGACACATATACACACATATGTATCTGAACTATGTACATATTTTGAAAGAAAATTAAAAAGAATGAGGACATTAAAGACTAAATTAAAAGAGAAGAAAAGCAAATCTCCTCAACCAAAAGCAAAACAATGTGAATATTAATTAAAGACATTACTACAAACACACATGTATGTATACCAGTAGACAGAAACACATGAAGATCTAGCTAGCTGGCTAGCATTCTATTTATCATAGAAATCTTTCTATCTATCATCTCACATATTTCATGTACCTATAGTTGTGTTTATGTGCTCTACAAACACTTAGAACTATTAAGATCATAATATCAATGATCACAGATTTTGAACCCCAGATTTGGATGCCTAAATACCACAACCGAGAGGAAAACCCCTGCAGCTACTTGGAGAAATGATCTATTGGCACAAAGAAGAGCAAAGATTTTAGATCATCTTACTATGTAGATGTAAGGAAATGCTCAAATACTAATGTAATGATATCTGATTACTTGAAAGTGTTCCTACTATTTTTTAACAATTTGCATTGTTGTGACTTACTCATATGGGAAATGTTCTTAACCTTGCATGATATATGTCAAAGTATTTAGGGTTGGAATCCCCTAATGTTTGCAACTTATGTTCAAATGACTCTGCAAGCAAAAATAGGAGACATATTCTAAATGTTGTCATTAGGTGAACCTACATAAAGATTGAGTATTTATTTAACCATTCTCCAGGTTTGAATATTTCCTACATAAATAGAAAATACACTTTGTTTGGACAAAAATCAAATAAACTGATGAAAAAGATGGAAAGATGAGGAACAAGGGAAATTTGTGTTCCCGGTAGATTACAAATTGGGGCACCTTTTAATAAAAGTATCACTGGTAAAGAAGAGGAGTGTATCTTCTACCAAGCAATTCCATTCCACATTTAAGAAAACCCTGTGACATGCACATCAGGAAAGATTTATGAGAATGCTTTAGGCAACTCCTGTTAAGAACAAAAAATTAGGAACAGAGGAACACTTGCCTAGGAGGAATAATTTCAAATACTTTAAAATACAGTAGGTAGCCATGAGAGATAATTATCTGAGTATTTCATAACTATTGGAAAAAATTTTGTATATTCCTAACACAAAGCAATGAAGTAAATCTGTGGTGAGCGATTTGGTCCTTAACCTGATCTGATAATTACACATTGTATATGTAAATTGGAATATCACACCATACCCTGTGAATATATACAATTGCTATGTGTCCACTAAAAATGCATATAAAAATGGTAATTGTTTGGGATAGGTTTACCATAATTTGAATATAATGCAATGTACATATGTTTTAAAACATGATGCCCCATGAATATACACAAGTTTTTATACATCAGTTAAAAATAAAATAAGACGTGGGTGTGGTGCCTCATGTTTGTTAGTCTTGCTACTTGGAAGATGAAGATCAGGATTAGGATGGTCTGAGGCCAGACCACACAAAAAGTTCATAGCCGCCCATGTCAACCAATGACTGGGTGCAATGGTCTATTTGTGTCATTCCGGCTACCCGGGTAAGCAAAAACAGTTCAATTATGGTCTAGACCAGCCAGGGCATAAACTGAGACCCTATCTCAAAATAATCAATGTAAAAAGGGCTGGTGGAGTGACTCAACTGTAGATTACCTGCCTAGCAAGTGTGAGGCCCTGGTTCAAACCCAAATACCCTAAATAAATAAATGAATAACCAAATAATAAAATAAAACCAAACAAAATTGAACTTTAGTTAAAACATCAGAAATATAGCTGGGTGCCAGTGGCTCACGTCTGTAATCCTGGCTACTCAGGAGGCACAGATCAGGAAGATTGTGTTTTGAAGCCATCATCCTGGGCAAATAGTTCCGTGAGACCCTATCTCAAAAAAACCCTTCACAAAAATAAGACTGGTGGAGTGACTTAATATGAAAGCCCTGAGTTCAAGCCCCAACCACAAAAAAAAAGAAAATATAATATTAATTTTAGAAAAACAAAACTTTTAAATCATTGAAATATCAGAAAAACAGATCAACTATACTGTTTTCTTTCAATAAATAATCACATATTTGGAGGGGATGAATTCAAGTATGATATATTTGATACACTGTAAATACTCATAACACAACAATAAATACTCCAACACAACAATAATAAAAATATTATCACATAGTGATGATAATGAATTAGTTCATCAATATAGATTAAGCTCCAAAGAAAGAATTAAATGAAAATAGCAAATCTTATAATCACACATGGTAAAGGTTAAGAAGAAATAAGATTACTTCTTTATTTACAATAAATGATATTCTAAAATGTTTTATGCAAAGTTGTCCCAGCTGCACAGCTGAAAATCATTTAGGTAAGGGCCACAGAAGTCTTACACTGTACCAAATACTGTCTCCAATGTAATACACAGGTACATGCTCACCTGGGATTTCCTGAATGGTTTTTCTATAGCACAGGAATAAAGGCACTGTCCTATCTTTGTGTTTATAGGAATGTGTACATCTCCTTGAGCTTTAAGACAGAAAACTGAATGTAAGCTTAGAATTAAAAATTAAATGTTGCACACACAGTTGGCATTTTCTGTGTTTACTAGAGAAGTTCTGTTTAAACAAAAAGAAAATCAATATTTTCTATTTCTTTTCAGAGCAAAAATGAGCAAATCACAGTACGGCATCTAACATCAGGAAACTGGGAAGTGATAAAGATCTTGTCATATGATGAAACCACTCAAAAAATGTAAGTGTTTTTCATTCTCCTCAAGCTGGCAGTGAGTGTTGACAAATTCTATCTTTTCTCCTAGAATTATATTTGCCTACCCCGGCTCTAGTTACGACAAGCCAACCATGTAAAAAGTAACCTATATCTTTAAAGACTTTCTCTGCTCCTCACTCAGAGATGCTTTACACAGACATAAGACACATGCACATAGTACTCTCTGAGATACTGAGAGAAATTATGAAAAACAGTGATTGATGACTTTATAAAGAAAAAAAAGGGCATGTTTTCCAGAGGGATCAAATTCCTGCGACTGAATAACCAAAAAACACTTGCTAAGTTTTTTTTGACAGTTTCAAAACTTCAAGTAAAAATTCAGTGTGACAGAAATAGACCTTTTTCTAATGTTTGTGTTGTTTTTTTGTTGTTGTTCTTTCCTGTACAGTTACTTTCTGAGCACCGAGTTTTCTCCCAGAGGCAGGCAGTTGTACAGGTAGGTGATGTGCTATAGTCTCAGTACACATCTGACTTCTCAGTGATGACATGGGGAAATCCGGGGTCACGTTCAGTGTCACTAGAGAAGGGCCATCTCTCAGTGACAAACCCACAATCTTGGTCTAGTTTCTGGAAGTCTCGCTCTTGTGATTTTTGCCTTTTTTTTTTTCTTTTTGCTTGCTTGTTTGTTTTGTTTTCTTTGACTTGGAGTTTCAAATTGTATTTTCTTTTTTCTTCTTTTCCTTTTAGGAGTCCAGACATTTACAGATTTTTCCCAGTGACCTCTTCTTGCTAGGTCTCATTTTGAACTTTTAGTATATTAATGTGGCACGTACATAATTTTTTTCTGAATAACATAATAGTGTTGTGATCACTTAGTAAAACCTATCAAGCAGAAGCTTTCCCATTTTTGTCTTGTAGTTGATAAAAATCCAATCTGATGGCTGTAGGATGATGAGGAGATCGGATTATGAAAAGCCTATGAGAACTGGACATAAGCAAGTCGAGATGCAGCTTAACTGCTTTCATCTGTAGGCCAAGATAGGCACAGCCCTGGCCACAAACAGATAAACCAGAACAGCTGCATCTCCTAAACTTGCTTTCAGAGAAGGAGGAATGCAGGTTTCTCCTGTTACAATGCCACACCCCTCCCTGAGAGCCTCTGCTCCACCCTGCTTGCCGCTGTTTATAAAAGATCTCTGAAGGAGAACTTGAGGTTTTTTGCTTTTTGCCTTTGGCTTTTGCTTTGGGCTTTGGTTTGTTTTTTTGCTTTGGGCCTTTGCTTTGGGCTTTTGGGTATGGGATGCTTTTGGACAGGAAAAGAATTACTGAAAGGAAAAGAATTGCTAAAGGGAAATTATTAAAGGGAAAAGAATGTCTAAAGAGGGGTTGATAGAAAGTCTGTACTGAGAACTTTAACATTAGGCCTTACAAAAGAAAGCCAAAGAAACATAAGCTTTAGAAGCTAAAGAAAAGCCAAAGAGAACATGGGACAGTGCAAGATAGAGATCTGAGACTTTGCAAGTCTGAGCACCAAGAGAGAATGCTAAAGAAAAGCTGCAAGCCTCGAGGCAAAAGACGTTAAGAGTGATTAGGCTAAAAATAAGCTAAGAAAAAAGATGGGACAGTGAGAGTCTCAAGAAAGAGGTTTAAAGCAAGTATTTAAAGAAGACTTTAGAAGCAAGGTTTTAAAAAGCTGCATGGAGTAAGGCCTTAAAGAATCAAGACAGAGAAAAGAAGCAATGAGGGTTGGGCATCTCCACCCGAGTGCCCAATACACCTGACCCCGTTTTCTGTCTGTCTAGCCTGTGTCTTTTCTGAATTTCCAGTCGCCCCAGTTAAGCCCAGTTTGGTTCAGTAATAACCAGGTGCAAGAGAGAAAACTCACTTTAACAAGGGAAGGAGCGAGAAAACAGCAACCCTTCCAGGAGGAGGTAACCTTAAGTCGGGAATGCTCATTGCTAAGCTAAAATAAAGCAAAATGGCTGAGTATTATGTTGCATCCCCTTGTAATCCCAGCTACTCAGAAGGCAGAGGCAAGAGGAGCACATTCCTAGTAGCCCAGGCAAAACCACATGACCCTTCTAAAAATACCTAAAGCCTAAGAAGTCTGGGGTATGGCTCAAGTTGTACAGCACTTACCTAGCAAATGTGTGACTCTGTGTTCAAACCCCAGGACTGCCAAAATATGAAAAATTTAAAAATGCTTTGCATCTGCCCATTTTTCCCAATTTCAAATGTATAACAAAAGGTCTATTTAGCCTTAGAGCACAGCTATTTAGGATTAATATTTCTACACACTAAGAAAACTTTCACCAGGAACTCACAGGGATGACTTTTATTTTTGGCTAGCAAACAGCCTATTAATTCTCAACATTATGTACACTTTCTAATTTCCTTTTCACAGAACCATTTTAAAGTGTCAAAACTGCCATGGCATATTCAAGTTAAATTCTTCATGTTAGAAGAAGTATAAACTCTGATTCTTACCAAGTAGCCTAAACGTTCTTTTAAGAGTAAAAATGCATATCTAATGTGCCCCTGCCTAATTCGCCCACAAACTCTTACTATGCACAGATTCCTTTCATCCAAAGCAAGTCTTTCTTTGCTGCCACCTCTCCTAGTCTGTCATTTTCATATTCTTAGTTTCTGCTCTTGGAGTTCTTGGAACCCATGCTCTCCATTCTAATGAGTCATTAGAGATACCAGTTTAAATTTGGGTTTAGAGATCTTGATGAAAGTACTAGTCACTTTTTCTTTCTGTTATCCTGAAGCTTATCATTTATGAAACATATTATGATTCATGTTGGTGGTCATGAAAAATACTTTAGAGGTATATAAATACTTGATCAATGTATTATTCCTCCCATTTTATAAAACTTTTAAAGAAAAATAACTGTCAGAAGCTAACACTTGATCAAGATTAGCAAAAGGAACTGCTTCAATCTCTTTTTTCTTATTAGTCTCAAATGTTATTTGAATCCCAATGACTCCTTAGATTTGTAGACTTGCCTTATCTCTCTCTAGACTGGGGCAGAGCAGTCAATATATCTATGACCTGTACAAGTGTAGCTGACTGTGTTATAAAAAAAATGTAGTGCCAATAAATTTCTTCTTAAATAGCTTCTCAAATGCCAGTTGTAAGACAATGTTAGTGTTTGACCCAGAAAACTCAATCAATGTCTTGCTCAGGCTATAAAAATTATCATTAGTTGACTTAATATATGGTATTAGACACCTCTGTAGAATAAGACCTGCTGACATATTCAGTGTTACCTTTTTTGGTCTCAAAATTATCATTTCCTATTTTAGCAAACTCATAGCTTAAATAATGAGTTAATACCAATGTAAATCTCTTAAAAGCTTTATGGAAGAGAAGGAAAAGGTTATAAATCTTAGTATGTCACTGAATAGCTATGTATGACTGGGATAATTTCTAAGGCTCTCTGTGGTGGTGGTTATATAACACTCTGAATGTAATTAATAAAATAGAATCATATAGTTAAAAATGGTTAAATTGGCAAATTTTATGTCATATATATTTTACCACAATTTAAAAAATTTATGGATGTGATTATCTCATAAGTCATCAAGGGGTGAAATTTTTAAGTGCCTATTATATATAAATTGCCTTGACTAGAGAAGGAAAATTATGGATTATGATCAGCACACAATGCTTCCAAAGTGAATTATGACTTTGTGAACTGTTCTTAACATTAAACCTTAATTGCTCCTGGTGCTTCCGGTACACATTTTAATGTGTGTGTTCCCATCCCATGACTGTTGTATATTGCACATCAAAATCAATGTGAATATAAGTTATATAAAAAATGTTTCATTCCAAAATGCAATTGAGAACATTTTGTCCATTTAAGCTTTTTGAAATAGCTTTCAAAAAAGGAATGGTATGAATGATTTCTACCATTAGCTAATATATTATTGCATTCAGATTTAAAATAAAACCTTTTTATTTTATTATTATTTGTTATATTTATTTGATTTATATTTAAAATAAAAACTTCAATGAAATTTAACTTTGGGTGAATTTGACCATCCTTCTGGCCATAAGTACTACTATTGCAAGATAAAGAAGATGGTCACTTTTGCTCTTTACCTTTCCAACACATCAAGGTATGTATTTTCATTAGCATTATATGTATTATCATCCAAAATGTTTCCTTTACCAAAATTTTCAATACAAGCATTTTGTAAGAAAAATGTAGCATGCTGAATTCTAATATTTAGACTACTGAATATAGAAAATCATGACCTTGATGTTTTTGTGTGACTTGGAGAAATATTTACTAATCTTTTTAACTAATATTTCTTAATGATTATTTACCTTAGTCAAAATTGTAAAAAAAGATGTATGTAAAGAACAAAAAGATAATGTTATGATGAATCCCATGGAAATCAATTTCTTTACTTACAGCCACATACACATGCATATTAAATACATGGAGATACACATTTTTTATTTTGTTACATAGAAGAATAGTGTGTGTGTCTTAACATTAACAGAAATTTCCTTTGTATGTGGTGGGTGAGACATAATTTCTAACAAACTGCTATACAAGACCTGTTGTAGCTTTTCTGCTGATGTTACACTGTATTTAAGTGGGGATGCCGCACATTCAAGTGTCTGGAATAGTTTCATCTGTACTTTCATTTTCTTCTCTAGTGCTTCCACTGAAGGATTGTTGAATCGCCAGTGCATTTCATGTAATTTTATGAAAGAACAATGTACATATTTTGATGCCAGTTTTAGTCCCATGAATCAGCATTTTTTATTATTCTGTGAAGGTAAGATAATATATGATTTCTGGTATAATTTATTTTATTCATTTTATTTGTTCAGTATCTATTACTATCATTAATGAACTTAAAAGTTTATAAAATACAGATTTATTGAGATGCAAGTTTCATTCATATATTTCATTTAGAAATAAAAACTCTGACTAAGTGAACATGGATACACAAAAAAATAGGACTATTTGAAACAGTGAATCTTAAAAAAGTAGCCAAACCTACTTAACTAAAGACATGGTACAGTAATAATTTGTCTATTTTGTAGTGAAAGCAAGAGTCTTCTTGTTTAAACACTAGCTTTATTGTTAAGAAGTTTAGTAGTTATGAAAATTGAGTTCCACTACCCCAAGCTTCTTCAGTTCTAAGCGATTACATTCATCACCATTACTTCTTGTCTTGGAACAGTGTGCTGTAGTCTTACATGGTTGTTCAGTGTCTCCAGAATGTACTCATAAGAATCATTTTCCCCTTAATATAAGGATGTATTTCCTAGATATGAAATAAAATTCATGTGCCTTCTTCTAATGTGATGAGCTGAAGGCGAAGGCTACTGATGCAGTTTGAATCTTGTTTCTTTTTAAGCTAAAATAAGGACTCAACAAACATTGGCTCTTTTATTTTTTCTCTTGATATCTGAAATGAAGTAATCATAAAAGAAAAGTACTTCTGTAATCAGGTCAGGGAAAAATTATTAGACTTTTAGATAGGCCTCCTTAAAGAAGTAAACTTATAAGATAACATGTTAACAACTACAGCTTAAATAGTATATTGTAAAAATGTGGGAATTCTGGTTAATATAGCTTTTAAATTTATATATAATTTCCATTTATCTTGTGAAAAACATTTCAAATATGCATGCATTTCTTCTTTCTTGCTCAAATGATAAATAGAATTTTATCTTGGATCAGTAGATGAGGTGTAAAAGAGTTATGAATCAGTTTTTTGGCTATCAATGACAATTCCAAAAAGAATAAAGATAGAAGAGTACAGCACATAAGATTGGCTGCAATCATAAAAGTACAGAAATATATTGTATTGAGGTGAAGGAGACCTTAACAAATCTCTAAAAATACTTTCTTCCCCCATATGTTCTTAATTCTCTGGGAAAAGCACCTATTGAAAAGGATGGAATCAGCTTATCTGGTTTCTGTTTCATTACTTCATTTGCCATGAAATGCTTCCATTTTGGAAAAAAATAACTATAAGCTTCCCAGAAAGTATTGCTTAAATGTCTAAATATGTTTGTAACATATATTTTTAATATCCAGGTCCAGGTGTCCCAGTGGTCAGTCTACATATCACGGACCACCCTGCAGGTGAGTATACAGAAGACAATTCAGAACAGCTGTGGTTCGTATTGGTCTTAAGCATTATATTATTTATTCCAAATGTCATACTCTGTAGAACCTTCTTTGAATGAATCCCAGACATGAGAAGCCCTGGAATACAATCAGCCAACAGTAAGGAATATGGCTTAAGCCATGTTACAGCTTAGGTTGGATTTTGTGTAACAGAAATAGCTGTATCTGCTCCCCTCAAATATAACGACGAGTGATTGATGTCCTTAGTCAGTCAGGATGTCTTTCGTTTCAGCCTTTTGGTATTATAGTGTGCTGGGTCATTATTTCCATAGAACAAAGCTTTTTTGTGAACATTTGGGGAAATTATGAAAAATATTTCACATAACTTGGATTCTGTTTGTTTCAGGTATCCTATGTTCTAGTTTTAAATATTCACTTTCATTCATTTATAGTTTTATTCAGTTTTCCTAAGTTTTTAAGTGGGTGCCTACATTATCAAGCAATATGGCAGAGGTTAGGGCCACATTTATAAGATGGTGATATGTTTAAGACGTATAAGTATATGATTGAGCTAATCTTAAAAATAGGTACACATTTTGCCTCTTGACTTCCTTCTTACTCATTTCTTCCAAAGTTTTTCCTCCTTTCATTGTTTTTACATTTTTGTATCAGTGTTCTTATACTCCAATGGTTTGATATAATCTAGTATAACCTAAACATGAGGCTTCTACTGATTGATTCATTTAACCCAAGAACATTGCTGTGATAATAAATTTTATTATTTCCTTTTACAGATGAGGAAACTGAGTCATAGGGAGGTAAATAACTTAGCCAGAGTCATATTAGTTAATTTCAGAGCCAGGAGACAAATAAGATATTTCGACTCCAGAATAGAGCTTATAATCACTACCATATGATGTCATGTTCTAGTATCATATTTTCATCCTGAAGCACATGCTTCTATTGAAAGTGTTTCAGTTAGATGCCATGACTTAGAGGAGACATAGATTTTAAAATGTAAACTTGAATGATAAATGTCATTCTAAGTAAACAAAAACAATTCATATATCTGAAATGCTAACATACGGAGACTTCTGTTCTACATCTAAATTCATGCTGTTTCCTTGTAAAGCTAGAAGATGGTTTTGTAAGTCTTTTAGTTTCAGTTATTCCTTTTTCCCTGTCTTCAGTGTACATCCTAAAGAGTTTGCAGAAAGTAAATTAAATCTGCACAATACTGACCAAAAAACAATGTTAATGACAATACAGTTGATAAAATAAAGGGTTGAATTTCAGAGATAGAATAATGATTATATGAAATGAGCCCATCACATTCTTCTTGTAGGATCTGAGACAAACTACCGTGTTTGCAGTATCATGTTATAAATTCATGACACAGGAAACATTTAATAAATGACCCCTATTTGTATCACATTGTATATTCTGCCTCTAACAGATGGATCTAGGGATGATTAAAAAATTCCTAATAAGATTTTAATTTAAATTTATCCTGCAATAACAATGCAATGCTTTTTTATAACATTGCTGCAATTTGTAAAACATTTCTAAGAATTTTTCTAATTTTCCCATTCAGAAACTATGATTGTCTAGTGATCAAGAAAAAACTTTAATGTTGGTGAACAGTGGTTATATGTTTATTTTTCAAAGGACAATTGTGTTTGAAGATAAAACTTACAGTCAGTGACAAGAACAACTTTGGATTAATGAAAAAAGTACACCAGTGAGTCTTACTTAACTCATTTTGAGGCCACATGAAATAAAATAGGAGTGAAGAGAACATTGCAAAAATGAAAATGAGAACATTTAACAAATATGGAAAACCTTTTAGCTCACTAGTTATTAAAGAATCACAGAATAAAACATTGTCATGTAAATTTTCCTAACATAATAATACATAAATGTTTTACTTTAATAATGACTATGTAAATAGTCTCTCATAATTTGATGGTAGAATTACAAATCGTAAACCAGTTTAGAAAACTATATCTCAGTCATGAACCTATAATCTTTCATATCTTTTTTCATTTTTATAGTTAATACTGGGAAAACAATTCTAGATAGAGATTGTTATTACAAAGCTGTTGGAGTCATGACAAGTTGTCTGTAACCATGGGCTAAAGTCCATGCCTACCTTTGTGTGTATCTCTTAAATAATCATTTCTATGACCCACTCTAGTAAACTTCTCTCTCGTTGACATTCAGGCCTAGTTATTCTCATTAGTCTTGGGCTGCTGTGTATTCCTTAGGTTCCTCCTACCAATGTCCATGTATGTATAATCAGTCCCTTTATTAAAATCTTGTCAAATTATTCTAATCATGAACATTTTCTGTTTCCTACTAGAATTAATATTTAATATTTCTAAAAGTTAATTCTTCAAAATTATATAATTCTTCAAGGTTAATACTTATGCAATTTTAACAAAACTATTTGAACATGTGTATAAAAATGAAAAATGTTAAAATACTCACAAAAATTAAATAGTTCTTACATTTGCATGGTAGTTTTACATGTGATTTTGTTGTTATTATTCTTCTTTGGTATTTTCATAATATCCTACAATGAATTTATATTATTATTATAATGAAAAAGAAATCATTCATTAAAATGCTCAGTGACTTGAGACATGGCATAATATGTAAAATTTTACTTAGTTGACACTTCAAATGTCCTTTGCCCTGCATTGCTATCTGTTTTAGCCTACTTTTCATTGAGATAAAATATACTGGAGGCATAACTTTACAAAGAATAGATTATTTTGGCTTACTGTTTTGGAGGTTCATAGTCCAAGATCAGTGGACCCCATTGTTTCAACCTCAGATGATGGTGCTCTCACTAGCAATCCCAAGGTGTCACAGAACATCTGTTACAAGAGACAAGAATCACACTTATGCGTCTGCATCTATATCTCTCTCCCTCTGCTAATAAAGATATCAGCATTCAATCATAAATGAGCTACCTTGAATATCACAGATTAAGTTCCAACCCTCTTGAAATCACTAAGAGCATGTTGAGGATGATGAGTAATTTGGAAGGTAAACCATAGTCAAACAATAGCACCACATTACATTCCCTTTTCTCCTTTTATATTTTCATCCTTAGTCTTCTCTACTTTAGGCATATATCTATTTCCTTTCCTTTTGTTTAGTCTTTGTTCCCCTTCTTTTTTCTCTATTCCATATGTTCTTCATTCCCTTTATAATTCTTTCTCATTCTTAGCTTTCATATTTCTCTTATCCTTCTTAATTTTGTTTTCATTATCTTTTCTTTCTTTCCTCAAATCCACACTTAACATGTCTTACTTTTACCTCCTCTTTACATCCCTTAAAGTACAATTGTATGATGTAAGCATAGTTTCTGAATTAAACATGAATAAAAATGTTTACTGCTCTTAACATTTTGAACTTGGTTTTAATCTTTGTTATAAATATAACAAAATTTTGTTTTACTAACATTTATTTGTATCTATGGGTGGATATTTATTTCACTATTGAAATAAATTAATTGCCTTTGATTTAAAAGAAACTTTTTCCAAATACTACTACATTAATATAATTAGTTCATATGCAATGACGAATCCCTCATTTGTATTTTATAATAAGCAGTGTAAAATTTTTATGTATTTCTCAAATTGGTGATTCTAAATGTAGATATTTATTGAATTATTAACTCAAATAGAGTACATTACTGCACATTATGTAAAACTTTATCTCATTAAAATAATCTGCAGCTAGAGGTACAAAAATAAAAATATAACGGGGGTATTAGTCAGATATCAAGTGATAGTTGCTTCTTTTATCTTCTATCTATAATAACTAAGTATATTTTTATAATTGTGCTTAGATTACAAATGGAAAATCCTTGGTGGAAGATATAGTGTTTGAGAATTCACATTTTTAAACAGTTACAATTAAATGTTTGTGATAGCTTTCTTGAATTTCTATTATTGAAGTAATCTGAGGTTCTTTACATTTTAAGGATATAAGAAAACTTGAAGAACATTTAACCTCCTAGATTTATGCTATAGAGGAAGACTTTATTTATAACCAGGAAGGATAAGGCATCTGAGATGAGGGATAGAATTCACAATCCAGTGGCAGAAACACAAAATGAAGTGATTGTGATAGAATGAGATTGTTTGTGTGGAAGGAATGGACCCATTTCAGGGAAAGAGGAAGTCAGTGGAAAGTATTTTAGGAGGCAGAAATGTGTATATATGAACATAGAAGTCATGACAGCTGGAGAAAAACATTTAAGGGGAAAAAACCCAGGTATATATGAGGTTGGAGGGGTAGACTGAAAGTCTTATGTTACATATTTCCATATTTATTTTATATAGTTACATATTTAGGAATTTGGGTTTAAGCATAAAGTTTCAATTACAATCCTTTGATATGTTGTCAAAATATTCTGACTATGACCAAGCTCCAGCGGCTCACATCCTAGCTGCTTGGGAGTTTGAGATTCAGAGGATCACTGTCTGAGGACAGCTCAGGCGAAAAATTTGTGGGACCCCATCTTAGCAAAAAAAGATGGGTATAGCATCACATGCTTATCATCTCAACTAAGGCAGAAAACATAAACTAGAATTATAGTCCAGGCCAGTCTGGGCAAAAAAATGTGAGACCATATCTCAAAAATAACCAGAATAGAAAAGAAACAAATTAAGTTAGTTTTGTAATTTCCTTACCTTTCAGTCCAGATACATTTTCTGAACTACAAAGTAGGAAGAAATAAGCAGAGTACAAAGGAATACCTGAGTTAAGGAGTCAGAGTTAGTATTCAGAAGGTTTGAAGCTTCTGGATTTATTAAGGAGATGGGAAAAACTCTGAAGAGGAGTAGCAGAATTTGCATAGACCTATTAGTGAATTGCTTGCTGAAAATGCTTAAAGGAGATTGCATCAGAAGACACCCTATGACCTGAGAAAAGTTGTAGCTCACACAGTGTTCATTTTCTAATCAGATAGTATACTGGAACCCTGAGGAAAGAGCCCAGAAGCCTTGTGCATTTAGTAGAATTAAACTAGTCATAGAAAAATGGTCACATAAACTTATGCTACAAAGGATATGTTATAAACTGCCAAATGAATCACTGCCTTCAAGTAACTTAAACATCTGCCATACTAATTCCAACATTTTCAAAAGAATGCAACAGAATAGAGAATTCAAAAATATAAACATCATAATCGTCAGTATCCAACAAAAATTATCAGCTATGTGAAAGTATTATAAAATGTGACTCACAAATAGGAGAAAGAGTAGAAGAAAGAAATAGACACAGATGATGGAATGCGCTGTAAAATACAATAAAATCACTGTTAAGATATGTTGAAAATGAATTTTGTGGAAAAAATAGAATATATCTTTGTAAAGGAACTTTGTGAACTTAAAATGTTTCACAGAAAACTTCACTGGAAGTAAAAATGAAAGAACTGTAAAATAGGTGCAGTGTGTGGGAAGGGGAAGGGCGAATGGAGGAGTTGAATGTGAGGGAATGTGGTTGATGGGCTTAGTACACATATATGAAAAAGAATGATGAAACCTCTTGTGACTGTCTTAAGTGAGACAGGGAGGGATTTGGGGAATAATGGTGGGGAGGGATCTAACCAAATACAATGTGTACTGTTTGAAATTGTCACATTGAATCCACCATGTATAATGAGTATATGCTAATAAAAAAAGTTTCATTGAAAGTACTAAAAGCAGAATGAGTGCTACAGAAGAAAGGAACAGTGAATTTGAAACATTATCAACAGAAATTTTCCAGACACAGAGAAAAAAAGAAGGAAAAAATTAATAGAACCTCAGTGAACGGTAGGCCAATATCTACATCGGATATAATTTTAATTAGTTATAAGAACATTGGGCTTATAAAATATTTAATGAACAATAAACAAAAATTTTCAAACTCTGATAAAAAATTTTATGAATACACAAAAAAATCCAGACAAGATAAATCCCAATAAAACCACACCAATGTTCAAAACAGCCAAATTGTAGAAAAAGAATGAGCAAGAAAAAAAATCATAAATAATCAAAAATAAAGGTACATTATATCCACACATTGCATATGTACCAGCAAAAATTGGCAGCAAATGTCATATCAGAAAAAAACAGTCAAAAGACAAAAGAATAAAAATTTAAAATACTGAAAGAAATATCAAACTAAACTTGAATAATGCATAAATATCCCATTGTCTGCTAAATGTTTATAATTTACAATTAATATTCTCATAAATAAAACTCTGGTCTCAGCTTCATTCATGTAACACTTATTAAATGAAAAACAAGCTCACACAAAAACTTTTCAGAAAATAGAAGTATATTTTTCATCTTAGATTGTGTAATTGACAGACATTTTACGTTTTCAGAGCTTATTTTTGGAATAACTGACATGCTCAGACCTCTTCTACCTTATTGAACAGGGGAACTAATAGTTTTACTTTGCATTTTCATGACTTTATCTGGAAATTTAATCATCTGTGATTTCTGTGCTTACTATTGACTAAATTTTGTCCTCATCCTGTAGTTTTATGGGTTAAATTTCTTCAAATTTTGTCTCATTTTGTGCTAGATAATTTTTTATTCTTTTAAATATTCTTAAGCAGGGCAGTAACATTTTCAGATTTTCATTTTGAACATGTAAATGGCAATTCCAACATATAAGAGCAAACTGAGAAAATGTCCCTCAAATAGGAAGTTCAGTTGGGAAATTGTCTATCACAACGCCTGGTCAATGGAAGCAACTGGATAATATTTTCTGGTATTGCACTGATACCAAATTAATGCTCTGGTGTCAACTATACTACCCCTCTTGGTTTACAGAGTATTTTATATTGGAAAGCAATTCAATGCTGGAAGAGGCTATCCAGAAGAAGAAGACAGTAAAGTCAGAAATTAAAATTCTCCATATTGACGACTATGGTAAAGTTTTGTGCATGCTATGTTATTCATGATCAACTTTCTCTGCATCTTATAGTTGTACATGTAAATGACTCTCCAACTTTAATATTTTGCTCTTTCTTTAAAAGAACTTCCTTTACAGTTGTCCTTTCCCAAAGATTTTATGGACCGAAACCAGTATGCTCTCCTATTAATAATGTAAGTACACTATTTGTTTTTGAAATAAAGGAATCTAAAGATTTTATAATTTCTCTTAAGTCTCACATGGCAGCATTTTGAGTAACTAGACATCCTATGTGTGTAGGAAGCCAGGGTAGCAGTCAGTTGTAAGAATTCCTTGTGGAGTGCATCACTGAATTATAAATAAAGTATACACAGTTTTTTTGTATTTCTTCCATCATATGAAGATTTGGTGCTACCGCTACTAGGAGTAATAATGCTAGATAGTTTGGTGTTTAGATGTCTGTTCAGCAGTTACTTATGCTTTATGCTCTTGATCATGGTTTATGCAAGATTGAAGGAACACACGTTAGCACTGCTGGAACAACTGGTTATATTTGTATCATTCTTATAATTTTCATTCCACGGAAAGACATCTCCATGCTCAGAACCTGCTTGATATTTGAACGTTGGAATTAATTTTAAACTTGAATTCATTTATACTTTCTGTGACATTAAAGCTGTATAGTATTTAGACATAGGGACTCCTAAAAGAACTCCGGTAGTATATTGATATCATAATGATTAAAATTGTCCAGAATTATATTTAGTGATTTAGCAAGCAAGAACAGTAAAAAAAATAAATAAAATTTGTTCTTATGATTAATGAGCATAAAGGATAATACTCATTATACTGCCTGGCCTAGTTTGTCATTTACTTGCTTAATGTCCTTATATAAATAACTTAACCTCTTTCAAGGCTGTGTATAAAATGAACATTAGAGTATAGCCAAGGTTTTATGGCTGATTTATAGATCAAATGAAACAACCTATAAAATCATTTGTATATTGTCTAGAATATATTATTTGTATAATTAGAATTACAACTTCTTTGTATAGCTTGTACTGATATTACTTAGATATTTTAGTTAGAGAAGCTATTTGTCCCTTTATTAATAAGCCAAATAAAACAGAAATAATATGACAATGTTGTCTTTCTTTGGTGTTTCTTCCTTATTCCATTGTCTTGGTAGCACATAGTTTTTCATGTTCAAATCTTTCTCCTTGGTCCTTCATAACCAGAGCTACAAAAATTCTAGTTGTCTTCTTCAGGAAGTTCTTACTTGCTCTTCTTTAGTTTTATCTTTTATCTCTTCTTTTTCAGCTAATTATTCTCCATTCTCATTTAGCCTGTATATGTGTGATTTATCAAAGACAATATTTAAGGCACTACAATAAGACAAAAAATGTAAAAACAAATAAATTTTCAACCTAATCTTTCATCTATTGTTTTCCTTTGGAGAAAAAGAATTGTTCTTTTGATTCACTGAAACATAATTTCTCTTAGGAAATTAGTAATTAGGGAACCTTAGTAAGGACCCCTAGTAGGCATTCAAAGTAGAAGACAAAGGAACTAATTGAGCTTGAAGTATGAGTCACTTATGCAAATGGAAGTGAAGACATCTATGCCTACTTATATATCTACCTGCTGAAGGGAGTTGCACACACTAGGGGAAAAACAGACCACATTTAAGTTCTTGCTGTTCTCTCAGAGAAGTTGACTGGAACAACTTGGCATCAGATTTGTGTTAACTTGTAGTACATGGTTAACTTTCAGTACATGAAAGGAAATGTAAGGTCCTCAAAATGAAGTCAATTTAAATGTTCTTCTCACTAGAAAGGGCTACTTGGGTCTGCTTGAAAAGCAGGATGGTAAAGATTCCAGTTTTGACTCAGATTTACTAGTTAACCCACTTAACTTTCCTATGCTTCTGATATGTTATAAATAAATGAAGATAATACTATGGTGTTATATATTATATAATATATTTTGACATACAAAATGTTTATATAAAATATATTATGACACTGTAGTGTCATAGTGTGTTAAATAAATTTTAACAACAATCATGATTGTTGTTACAGTTAGTTTTATAAGTGTTTGAATTTACTGGTATGCATATTTAATGTGTAATTAAGTAACCATAAAGTTAAGAGTAGGTAGACACTACTGTAACACGTGAAGAAGCATAGTCAAGCTCATAGAATTTACTTTGCTATAATTTTGGTTGACGAAGGAAAGAATGCAAGAAGTTTCAAGTCATGTCTAGTTATTTCTCATGTTAGATACTATTTACATGAAATATTAATTCACTTTATTCAAACTCCTTCATTTTCTGACATGAATCATCAGGAAGTATGCAGGTATGGCATGCAAAAACCAACCCAAATATTTGCATCATATCTATTGATAAAAAAAATCTCTTCTTTTAAATTGCCTAATCATTCATAAATTATTTATGCTTAAAACATGTATCAGCCAGTTTTAGCTGATATGGAAAATTTTTTTTGAAGAATGTTTTAAGTGAGTCATGATTTTAAATGCATACTTTTTCTCTTATGATTAAATCCTGTTTTCAGTGACAACTGGACTCCCATTTAAAAAATAATAATAGCATTTATTTTTTTCAGAAAAGATCAGTTAGACAAGGCTGAGCAATAAATAGCACAGCTGTTACTTACAGGAAGAGATTTGGTGACTTGTTGTCACTGCTCTATTCCTGATCCCTGAAGTATATTTGCAATGTAACAGACTGAGTCATTTCTGAGTCTATAGAGTTGGCAGTTTAAAATCTCTGTTTTTCTAAGTCTTCATTGTAGAACTTCAGAAGACTTACTTGTCTTGGACGTATGTCCTCAGCCCCAGATATAACTTTGTGATATTGAAAGTGCAAGTGAATCAACGAGGACAAAATGTTTTTGTTATAATAGAAAATCAAAGAAGCATTGCCACCAAAGATCGATATTGGTGACCTGGGTTTGCTGAGAGTTTTATGAAGTCAGGGTTGTCCTTTCCTTGACTGTACCTCCAATTGCTTATTGATCTTGTTTTAGTCCTTTTGTTTAACATTATAGCAAGTCCTTAAGGCCCAGTAGTCTATATCTATCTTTATCCATTTCAGAATCTCTAACCTCAAATCATTCTCTTAAATATTATTTTGTTTCCTACTCATGTACACAAAATTTAGAACAATATATATTTACCATTTACCATGTTGCTTTTATGTTCAAGAAGCTGTGTTAATAGCTATGGGGAAGTTAAAAAGATTATAATCATCCTGAAGTCTGTAATGGCATTGTAAATTTGGTCCTTCTGTCTTTACAATGTAAGCATAAACAGTGGAACCTTCTGAAATCTTACCAACTAACCTATAATTCTCCAATAGTGCAACACTGAATGGGATGTGAGCAATATTCTACAATTGCAGATGTTTATTAGAAAGACAAAATATGAATCTGAAATGGCTGGATCATGGTAGAAGAATCCAGAGAGTGGTTTTGTTTCATTTTTTTATTTTCAAGAAGAGAAACAACATGGTACTTGAAGTTTAATTCTTTGTCAAAGGCCCATCATTTCATCCCTTTGTCTACTTTGTCATGTCAATCCATCCCTGCCATAGTTGCTAGAGGTCTTACCAGGAAGCAGTGAATGCTTAAGTTACATTAATTCCCAGAATACTACTCTGTCATGACTATGTTCCCTTTCCCTCAATCCATCTTTCTTGGATCCCAAGGAATTCCTTGTCATACAGCAAGGATTGTCTTCATGAAGCTTTCTTCCAATCTCTTCCTCAGTCCATCTGTGTCCTGTTGGATTCCCCAGTGCATTGCCTCCTCCTACAGCTGCAGCCCTCTAATAATCCTCTTTGGTCTTGAGCCAGATTGGCTGGGTTAACACATTTCCACTTGAATTTTGTGAGGATATTTTAAATGCTCTTTAGGGAATCAGTGACTCCCACTAGATCTCAAACCAAAGTTTCTGAAAGAGGATCCATAATGTAGAAGCTATTATTATTTAGAGAAATAATTTTTAGGCTGGGTATAAAGGAATATTTAAACATCTTAAGAAAAGTAGAGATTTAAAAAGCTTTATTTTGTACATTCTATGTTAAATGTTTGCACTCCTATCAACTAGCTCTTTCAAAAATTCTCTCTGTAAATATGTATTGAACTTATTTATGGATAATGTCCAAAAACCAGATTAATATGGTCACCATTAGTTTTCCCACTAAGTCATTCTAATTAGAGAACAGTAATTCATTTTATCTATTCTTTTTCTATCAATGTTTTGTGTATCAAAGTCCTAAAATTTGGTCATGCTAACAGAAGTGAGTGATCTTCTGGGTATTTTCTGCATAATTATTGTGTTAAACAACATGATATAATTAACTGATCCATTCAAAATCAGTTAAATTAGCCACAGTCAAGATAATACAAACACTGTTTTTCACACATACCTTTTCACTTATTTAAACAATGTAAAATGTTCTTTAATATTACAATTAGCATCAAGTTCATGGGACCATAATTTTTGTTTTGATCTTTGGCTCAGTGGAGTTTCCTTTTCATTGACCTTCTTTTTCAAGCTCTGTGGCAGTCAGAAATTCCATGTGGATGATTAAATTCTAGTCTGTCACCCTTCTCTCTACCTACATTTCTCTGCTTTGGTTTATTGCTCTACATTCTCTCTCACTTGCTTTTCTCCTCTGCCATCAAGGTGAACTTTGTCAAATCCATATCTGATAATATACCTTTCAAACCAGCCATCATGCCACCAGAAAGATGCAAGAAATCACATCATTCTAGGAAATTCTACCTTCTTGATCATTTGTCTGTGTGTGTTTGCACAATCTACCACTGCCCCAATTTCCTAGCCCAACTAGAAATGGCCTATTAATACTTTGAGATATACGCCCAGAAAAGTCTGTGTACAACCATAACAGATAATGATAAATTCTTTGCAGTCCCTTCTATTAAGCTAACAATCCCTTGATGAGAAGATGCCTTTTTGTATTTTTTGCCTTAACACTAACTGAAGCATTACTTGTGTTTAGTGAATATGAATGAATGAATGAATAAATGAATGGAAGAATAAAATAAACCTCTAACATTGATCATTCCTTTCTCCATGCCAAATAGCTACCTTAGTCTAAGTTTTGTGTAAAAATAACACAATGTCTGGTATGAACATATGATAT